AGGCTCCGAGCCATCAGCCCAGAGCCTGACGCGGGGCTCGAACTCACGGACCGCGAGATCGTGACCTGGCTGAAGTCAGACGCTTAACCGACTGCGCCACCCAGGCGCCCCTCTTGTGGTGCATATTCTTAATGTGAGCGTGAAACTTTGTGTGTTAAAGTTGAAGTTATTTCAAGAGAGAATTACAAACATACCAGGGCTAGTTGGGACTGTAGTTCGATTTCCAGACCTTGAACCGTGCGTCTCAATTCAGTAATCTCCGATTTGTGGCTGGACATTTGTTCGATGTTACTATTGATTTCCGTAGTGAGTTCTTTGCTCTAGAGTATTAACAACAGGGGAAAAGATGAGAAAATTCTGAAATGATAACCAAACGTCCGTTGGCCCCACTATGAAGGAAGACGAATTAACCTTTTCGTTGAACCAGGCTTCAGCGTCTTTGCGGTTTTGTTCAGCAAGTTGTTCATACTGGTTTCTCATGTTATTCAGAAGTTCAGTCAGATCGACACCTGGGGCAGCATTCATTTCTACATTTACATCACCAGTGGACACATTTTGAAGGTCTTTCATTTCCTGTTAGAGGAACAGAAAAATTTAATGATTGTATCATGACCACATGACCCCCCCCCCTTTTATTTTTGGCTGGGGGACATATAACTTTTTGCATCACCTCTTCATGATTCTTCTTCAGGTAGGCCAGCTCTTCAGTCAGGCTCTCTATCTGCATCTCCAGGTCAGCCTTGGTCAGGGTCAGTTCATCCAGCACCCTGCGCAGGCCATTGATGTCAGCCTCCACACTCTGGCGCAGGGTGACCTCGTTCTCATACCTGAAACAAGCATGGTACAAATACTGGATATAATTTACACATGGGAGATGTTCCTGGGCTGAGACTGTTTTAGAAGCAAATACGGAGTTGGCTTCATGTGGCAACATTTATTGTGTACTAATTCATATGGGGATAGAGGGATATTAGTGGGTTAATGCAAGGAAGCTTAGCAATTTACTTTAAAATGCATTTTCTTCTTTTAATATTGCCAAGAAGGTAATATTGAAATTGAAAAATTTTCGGACAGCTCCAATACTGTTTAACTTTGAATGAATTCAAGAAAATGTAAATGCTATTGTAGGTGTCCAAAGTCACTGTTAAAAACAACTCCTGTATTTGTTGTGACTGTGTTGTACCATGTTTACTTAGCTTACTTTAATCTGAAGTCATCAGCTGCCAGCCTGGCATTGTCGATCTGAAGCAGGATGTTGGCATTATCAGTTGTCAGATTGAGGATCTGGAGGGAGAGGCAAAGAAATCAGATACAGATACGCCATTATAAAACCAGGTGGCATAGATAGATAAGCTGCATTTTTATGTTCTCGTACAAAATCCTGGGGGGATTTTTTTTATCTTAAATATAAAATATTGCAGGGTTACTCATATACTTAAATTTGAGTCATTTGTTCTCTCAAAGTTTCTATACATATCTACTTCTGTATCATCTTTTTCTGAAAACTAACTGCAATTATATAGCTGTGTTCTTGCACAGCTCCCCTCTCCCCCCTCCCATTTTATACTGTGTGATTTCCATGTATTTCAGTGAGCTTTTGACTGACTCATACCTTTTGGTTTAACTTGTTTTAAATATACATTCTAAATGAATACACTCTGGGCTGACACACAGTAGGTACAATTCACAAATTCTCCCAGAGGCAAACAGTATCCCATTTTCATACTGGAGAATTCATGTTACTTGTAATGTTGGTAATGGATTTTTTTTTTTATTATCAATCTGAATACTGTCTTGTTCTGATTGATTTAATAATTCTTTCAGTTCCGATATTTGTAAATGACCTAGTATTTTAACTATGAACTCATACACTCATTTAAACATAAAAAAATTCTCAGTAATCCATCGTCTGATAAGGTATACAACACACATTGAAGATTTCAATGACCATATCCTCACAAATATTTACCTTTGAGGAGACTGGATTATTTTTGGAAGCGAGAAAGTAACGGTAGGCAAACACAGTGAATAGCTACATTGTAGTTAATGTAAGTGTCACATATCTGAGTTACATGGATAAAAAATAGGCTTAAAGTTGGATTTTTAAGATGCACCTTACCTGATTTTTAAGATCATCGATGGTTTGGTAGTATTTGCTGTAGTCACGAGGTTCTCTCTGGCCTAAGCCGCCATGCTTTTCATACCACTCTTTGATTTTGCCTTCTAGCTCATAGTTTGATTCTTCCAGAGCCCGCACTTTGTCCAAGTAGGAAGCCAGGCGGTCATTCAGATTCTGCATGGTTACTTTTTCATTTCCGGAGAGAAGGCCACCATCTCCTCCAAATCCACCCCCAAAGCCTCCAAAACTGCCTCCACTGAAGCCACCACCACCAAAGCTGCCCCCTCCAAAGCTGCCTCCTCCATAGCCCCCACCAAAGCTGCTGCTTCCATAGCCTCCACCAAAGCCTCCTCCACCAAAGCCTCCTCCGCCAAAGCCTCCTCCTAATCCTCCATAGCCACCTGATGAGCCCCCAAAGCAGCCTCCACCAGAGCTCCCACGACTAAAAGAACCACCACTGAACCCCCCTGAGCTAAATCCTCCACCAATGGAGCCTTTGCTGCTTGAAATTCTGAAGGATGACCCTCCTCCTCCTCCTCCTCCCCCCCCACTGCGGGAGGAAGAGTACTGCTTGCTTGAGCTGTATCGAACAGACATGGTGATGCTGTTTAGCTCAGGGAGTGCTTGCTACCAAGGACAGTGACAAGCCTTTATACACTGAGAGGGTGTGTCCCACATGTGTTAGAGTTTGCTTACTTGCATGGTTTTCTTTTTGCCAATTTAGCATCTTTACTTATGATTGCATAAATTATCGTTGGTAATAACCAATTCCAATATGTATGGTTTTGAATTTGCCCTAAGAACAAACAGGAGTTTTGCTGTGTTGAAATTGAAAATGGGTGTAGTTCAGATGAGCTTATGTTTCATTACGCTTTTTTACCTTTTGAAGAATATTGAGCAACTTAAATCCAGTTTTTTCTCAGTACTAATTTAGTTACACAGAATGTTTGCGAAGTTTGGAAAAAGAATTTTAGCTACAAAATTATTGCTGAAGATCTTTCAAATTCATGTTTTAAATAGTTTTAATTAATTGGAAAAAAAAACTAACATAATGTCATGCTCTAATGGGGATCTTGTAGAAAATTGCAAGCAAACCAAAAAGAAAAGAAAAAAATGTGCTAAGCAGTTTAATTAGTGTTCAAAAGATGCCACATATGAAAAATTAAAGCCATAAAAAAACCAAATTGGTAAGTGTGTGTGTGTGTGTGTGTGTGTGTGTGTGTGT